CAGTAGAGTAGCACCTTTTGAGAATGACCATTATGCTTGAACTTAACTTTATTATTACTTGCACCGACCAAAAGATAAAGAAAGGTAACCTTTGAACTTATTCTCCGTGTTTAGAATTATTAGTCCCTGGAGAATTCTTGATTACTGAATGTAAAAGGACATTGATTTTAATGGTGCTCATTTCTTTTTTCATCTGGGGTATGCAAACTATTAACCTGGAAAACCATTTCTAATCTTTGTCCTTTTTATCAGCTGACATGGATGTTGCACGCCCAAAGCAGACTTATCAGTCGAGTTGGAGTAATGCCACCTGGAAGAACAAGGATTGTATTTCCAGAATGCTGGTCACAAAGAGAGGGTTTTGCAAAGTTGTCATTTTTTACAACAAGCGGACAAACTAAAAATGTTTTTTTCAGGGGTGGGATGACTAACAGATTTAACCCAAAATATGCTTTGTTGGGTATTTAACTTTAGAGTGGGTCCCTTTCGCTTAACAAGACTTGGTAAATACTTATAAACACATATTTGAGGTGTTTTGTTCTTCCCGGTTTTTTTTTTTCAGTTTAAGGAATCTGAAAGAGGCTAAAGCCAATCAGATCGCATGTGGTGCAAAGAAACTGACCGGATTAGCACCTCATTTAACTGAAGCTATTGCTTATCAGCCTTTAGTCTTATTGCAATCCTTTGTTAACAACGGTTCAATTGTTCATCTATTTTTCAATTCGGCAAGTATCTGCAGAATATTGAGCAGAAGCGGTAATCAATTTGTTTACACGTTTTGTTTTCCTTTCAGATAACTTCTAACTTTCGAGTGATAACTCCATCTTTGCTTCTTAACTAAGTGAACGAAATTCAAGGTGAGGCAATATTTCTTACAACCAATTTCACTGTCAAGCCACTTGTTACCAACTGATCTTGTAAATTACTCATTTAAGCAAGAATTAATTGTTTTTTGTTTCTTAAGTTCTTATTGCCAAATTCAGTTTGCGCCACATGGAAGAAACAGCTTCATCAGATTTCTTAGTTGTCCTCAACGAGAAGTCTTTGCTATCTTTCATCAAGGTAAGAATTTCTTTTCATTACTTGAAGAATTCAAGAATTGTGAGGAAAGGAAGGTTTATTTCTCAAAAGAGTACACTAAAATGGTAAAGAGAAATACTTACTTGCTGTATTTTGCTTAGACATGGCAAAGTGGGAGAAATTATCATTTTTTTTTTTGTTTGGAACGAGGATTCTGTAGTTGCCCTTGCTGTGTTTACAGAAATTGAGCCTCATATTGACAAACCATTTTTCTCTTGACAACACTGGCTGACATACCACGAATGAAGCCACAAACGTAAAAATGGTAATTTTTTTAGAATAAGATTAAAGTTTATTCTGGCAAGCTGTGACCAATAATATTGAACCTCCAACTGTGCTGCCTACAGCAACATGTGACTAACACATTTGGATCATGTCTATCACATGCACATAGTTGACCGTTGTCAAACTACACCTTTAATGTCCTATTCTCATAAGGCAGCAAGTTTGCATACAGCAGTAATAAATAATTTTACAAAAAATGTCAGCAGTCTAAGGAGGTAACCTAACATACTTGATTCTACAGTTTGTAAGAAAATGCTGACGCCATCTAAGTTTCTGCGAACCCAAAAAGGGACTGCTCTGCCAAGATTAGCAATAATTACCTTACTGTATACATAATAGGTGCCTGCATTTAGTCTCTGGATGCCCAAGCGAATGTACAGTGTGGAGCAGTGAACTGATCCCCAGTAATCATTAATGTCAAAGGGGTGATAAACCAGATTCAGAAGGGTCCTAGATATTAGCGATTATTATTATCCGGCTGGAGAATATCACTACTGCAAAGGATGTGATGACACATATATTGCCTGGGACTGGAGACTGTTGGTTTTGTGGCAAGTTTCCCTCAGGTGCTTGCAAACAAATATGCGTGTGATGTATCCTCATTGTGGGTACGTTGGCATGGAAACAGTTCAACATCCCTTCAGAGGAAAATCAAAGAACTACAAAGAGTGTAATGAGAAAGACCATCTCATTCTTGGCCAATTTCAAGCACCACAGGCAACTAATGCTCAGTTCAATATACCAGCAGTTGATTGCACACAAGAAAAGCCAATTAAAGTATCCCAAGTGTGAAATAGTTTCTGGCTTGTTATGCACTTGACATTTACAGCGGAGTCAACCTCATTAAGGCTGCGGCAACCTCAGCTTACAGCAAAGTTTGTTATGATTGTTTAAGGAAGGCGATAAGAAGGAAAGCCCCATACATAACCCGTCTGAAAGAACTTGTAAATAACTGTCCTAAGTGAACAAGATATTTTGAAATGACATCAAATGCCCAACATCTTGTACCACGTGGCATGTTTTTTCACACTGTGCTGTATACTGTCTAGCATATCTACAAAAAAGGGAAAAGCTACAACCCCGGACAAAACTGTTGAGACATTTCAATACAATTTTCAATTTCGCGCCATGCAATCTTCGTGTCCAAAAGGAACAAATTCGCCCCCCTCCCCACCCCTGTTGCAACGTTGTTTTGACCTAACAGCTCAAGTATGCATTTCTTTTGTTATTGCAAACAACATTGCAAAAGGGGAGGGGGGAAACGGTCTTTTAATTTGCGACAGTAAGCATTTTTGTCAGGGTCAGTGAAAAAAATAGGTATTTTTGTAATGTGTGTCAACAGGTTTTGTCCAAGGTTGTCTAGAGGTGTTTTTCTGCATTTTTTAACTGTGATGTCAATTACTACGAGTCATTGTTATTTTTTTAGGTGAAATGCATGAAACTTATTGTTTTTGAACACTTTTCACTTTTGTGGAATGATGAAAAAAACTTTTTGGCTGAAAAATGAAGTTATGTCTGTTACATTAAGCGGGGTGTGTAATGCGTTTTTCTCAGTAACATTACCATGGACACATTTTAAAACGAGTTGCTCGTCCCTAAACGCTTTACTTACAAGAGTAATGACATTCTCTCGTAATCGCCGACCTAAATGGAACTCTTACGATCTTATGATAGTGAGGATACATCTTCAGAGGACTGTGAATCATTTCAGGAAGCGCTAGGTGAGAAAGAAGTAAGAAGCGTTTATTTGATAACGTACAGTCAGGCTAATTTGGACCTATTTCCCACGCGAGAAGAATTTGCCTCCGCGGTAGTAAAATCATTTGCGAAATGCAATGCGAAAATTGTACAGTGGTGTTGTAGCTGTGAAAATCACAAAAAAACCCGGAAAACACTACCATCTATGTGTGAAGCTTGATCGGAAGGAGTTTTTACGCAATGAGTACGGGATAAATGCGAACTATTCAAGTAAGCACCATAACTACTACAGTGCCTGGACATACGTAACAGAAGAGGATGAGAATTTTATTGAGAGTGCTGGCCACCCGGACCTTAAGAATGCCAGTGAACCGAAAACAAGTGCCGCAAGTCGTGCTAAGCAGAATAACAAACACAAAAGGAAAGCTGCAAACGAAAATCATAGCGATGAGGATGATCAGGAGAGTGACGACGACAAAGATACTGATATGCATACGTCTAGAAGGAGTGCTAGCACCAGAAAGAAAAAGCGTCTTACAACATTCGAAGTGACAGAAATTATAGTTGAGAAAAACGTGAAATCGCTGGTAGAACTGCAAGCTTTGGCTCACCAACAGAAAAAAGAGGGCAAAACGGATCTTGTTGAATTCCTAGTAAATCGCACACCAAGGGCGGTCGCAGATATATTGAATACCGCGTAGGGAATTGAGAATGCTGCTGACAAACTGGCACGATCTAAGAAAACTCGCCTAGAGTTATTGCAAGAAGCGAAAGAAAAAGAATGCACAGAGGGTTGTGATGGCCTGTGGAAGATTTGTGCCGAAGAAATCCTATCCAATAATCAGGTCCTACTACAAGTATTTCACGACGCAGTGTTTGATTTGCTGATAAAGGGAAGGGGTAAATACCGGAACATGATCACTGGCAATGCGAACTGCGGTAAAACTTCCTTACTTAACCCGTTGACCTTGATTTTTAACACTTTTTGTAATCCTGCTTCCGGGAGCTTTGCCTGGGTTGGGGTTCAAAACGCTGATTGTATTTTCTTGAACGATTTTCGGTGGTCGCCACAAGTTATACCGCGGCATGATCTGTTACTTATGCTAGAAGGTCATGTTGTGCATTTACCGGCGCCGAAAACCCACTTCAGAAAGGATATTTCATTAACTAGTGACACTCCGATATTTTGTACGGGAAAACATAGGCTCGTGTACATGAAAAATGGAATTGTGGATGAACATGAATGCGGTATGATGGACGTTAGGTGGAAAATATTTCATTTCACGTATCAGATCCCGCGGGAACAGCAACGAGACCTCCCGTGTTTTGCAGAGCTTATTTTGCCCTCACTAACATAGTGGCTTGGTCATACACGGTTAACTTAATAAAGAGAACCCAACAGAGAGAAAACACCACGGTTAACATCGGTTTACAACGGTTAACAACTGTACGGAATAAAACAATAGACTCTATCTTGTTTTTCTTTATGAAATGCTGTGAACCGTTATTAACCGTTGTTAATCGTTCAAATAACTATGTTCCAGTTTGTTAATCCTTTAATTTTTGCATTTAATCACTTTCGTAGTCTTCTGCTGATTTGCTAGGCGAGTTTTAATATTGACAGCAGGCATTTTTGTAGCGGGAAAATTCACATCGTCATGGTAACCAGATACTATACAGTCCTCTTTTACGGTTAGTTTGTCACTCGCGTGACGTAGTATCCTTACTAGAATATAGGTACGTGAATAAAAAGCCATGGTTTCATCTCCAAATTCACTGTTTCTACTAATTGGGCAAGTGCATGCCTAGTATTTTGTTCTCTGTCCCTTATAATTTATAACTAGAGAAATCCAATTATCCATCGATTCTATGATGTTGACAACTGCATCAACTGGCATGTTCATAATTGTGCTAATTACACGCTCACTGAATTCTTCGTAAGTTTCGCGTGTAATATTTAACTCAAGAGCTTGCTTATCCAGCTCTACTTTAACTGTATGAAAAAAATTTTCGATACAATGAATATCACCACTCCTTGGGGAAAGTTTCAACTGCTTTGCTTTTTTAACACGTAGCGCGGGGCGTGCTGACGCGATATTTTGAACAGGACAGTTGTCCTGTACAAACAATCGTGACCCATTTTTGTTCGCTTTTCTAAACATGTTCTCAAAATTATCCTGTACAAATTCGGCAAAGTACGCGCCCTCTAGTTTATCATACTGATGACACACAATAGCTCCTTTGTCGTAACTAATAGCCACAACTACTTTCACAACTTTTCCACCGCTTCCCACTTTGCCTCCCTTTGCAGTGCAGCCCTGCATAAGTCCCTTGCACTTCTTGCGCCAAATACGGCCGTGAGGCGCACTGGCTTGATCTGCTGGGTTCCTTTTATACCAAAAATTAACACAATCTAAATAAAAAGCTACATCGTCTTTCCAAACATCCTTTGGGTAGTTTTTTCTCATATGTTTGGCGAATTTTAAGTCCTTTTCTGACAGAAGGCCCTTTTTCCTTGTTTGGAGGAAATGGTAACCTTTCCTTTGAAGGAATCGCCTGATGGTTCTGTTACTCACATGTTTTGGGCTTATCCCAGCTCTCGACATCAGCCTAATGGATGTAAAGTTACCTTCTTCGTGTCTCAAACTGTACAAAGTTCGTAGAATTTTGCGTTCCTCTCGCGAGCTCAGTTTTCAGGGCCTTCCTCCCAAATTTCTGTTCCAGTCCTCTCTTTTATAGCTGTCAATTATCCTGTCCTTTTTTATCCTGTAGACCGTGGCTCGTGAAACATGGCATTGTCTCGCTATATCGTTTATCGATAATTTCTTTTCTTGTGTTAAATACATAATATAAGCCCTTTTGAACGGGTTGATTTCACCATTAAACACCGTGATTTCTTTCCCGTGCACCTAGTAGGCTGTTAAATATAGCGCCGTCTTTTTGACGTCACAATTGACGTGTTCTAATTGCTTAATTGACGTTTCCGATACTTTGGCAGAAAGCTCATTAAAAGGGCAATAACTGGGGCAAAAATCACTATCTTCTGAACTTCCATTGCGAGGATACAGCAATTTGAACTATGAGCCATCTCAGACAACCCCGGACAAAACTGTTGAGACATTTCAATGCAATTTTCAATTTCGCGCGATGCAATCTTTGTAATGTGTCTCAACAGGTTTTGTCCGAGGCTGTAGCATTTGCAAAAAAACTGAAATATGGAAATATCAGTTTGAGAGAATATAAAATGTGTGAAGTTTGTTATAGTCTTTTCTTTTACTTGTTGGCTTTTTGAAGCTTTACCCCATTTCCAGGGTAAAGCTCGTTTACTGGATCTTACTTTGTACTACACGAAAAATGTTTTGACAATTAAAGTTTTTAATTATTTGCGTTCTTCCACAACCACCAAATAATGAAAGGTGCTAAGAAAATTCTTCTGACATTCAGCGTTTGTTACATAGTTAAAAGAAAAACATAGATGCTTAACTGTTTGGCCTTGGCTAGAACTATATAATATGGTTACACAGCAAAACTGCTCTTTGGTGGATAGAAAATAATAGAGAATGGAAGCAATTTGTGCATCATTGAGTTAACGAGATCCTTCATGTTACAAAGAAGGACGAATGGAGGCATTGCCAGGGGAAGAGAACACCACTGATATTAGTTCAAGAGGCGAGCTAGTGACAAGACTGAAAGAAAGAGAGCTATGGTGGAGAGGTCAGAAGTCAGTAAGACCTCCACAGAGCAATGAAGAGAGAATGAAGGTGAACGTCACAGTAGGGGTGACGAATGGTAAAATCCGAGCCTTGCCGAGACGCCGAAACGCCGAGACCCTAGTTTAAAAATCCGAGCCCGAGACTTAGCGCTAAAAAAATCCGAGCCCGAGACGCAGTGATCCAAAAATCCGAATCCACTTGATCCGAAAATACCAGATACAGCGCTCTGAGCTTTTGTGGGCATCACAACAAATATTTTTCCACTCATCCCAAAACATTGGTTTTGTATTAAAACCATTAACTTATCTAGTCTACCAGTCAGAGACATAAAATTAAACGTATTAAGTAACGCATTACTGCTTATAGTCTACTTATTAACCTGGTTAGTTACTTTATAAACTAGCTAAACTAATGATTCGAAATTCTGCCTGGTTTAAAATTCACACGCCTTCTAATAGCTTCTGATCTCTTGATCTGTCGGCTTCTGGCACGCGTAAATCTGCGAACGATCGGCTTTCGACTAGCTACTACTGCAAATGGCAGAGAGTGAAGAGTATGATGCTTTGAGGCAGACTCTCTTCAATTCAAAATAATAAGTCTTCCGGACTGAGTTCAAAACTATGCCCTGAAAAGCGGAGGCACAAATATGGTGACATCGACCCTTGAGCAAAAAGAACGGTGACTGAATTTTATAACAGACAGGCAAATGAAGGAATGCATCGGCTTACTGTAGTTTGCGAAACCAAACGAAATGGAACGAAACGAAATGAAAATCTGTAGTTTGCGAAATGAAAATCTGCAGTTTACGAAATGACAATTTACTTTCTCGCTGCTTCTACTCAGATATTCTAAACAGAAAATTGCAACCAGAAAAAGCTGTTTCGCCCAGAAAATTCAGATTGCGCGGAATGCGTGATGTTTTCGTTGCCACATATAAAGTTTAACTTAGGCTCAGGCGTTTTTGAGCGATGGACAGCAACCGGAAGCAAGACCTCTTCCCTTTTTATATGCCTTGACGCCACCACATTACTCTTACAGAGACGGTCTGCCTGAAAATTTGCCTCAGAGCCACTGCCCAAGAATGCAAAAGTCCACTTCCGGTGGCCATTGAAACGCCTTATCTTAACCAGAAACGTCACGTGATATTCAAACAAAATGATAAAATACATCATTGTGGCTTTGTTGTTTACTTTCGAACATGGTGGTTTTAACGTTTTGTACAGATAAACAAGTGCAGGAAAAAAAAGTATTTCCAGCAGAAGTTTTGGTTGTTTAAGTGTCATTTGATGGTAGGAATTCCCTTTGGAGGAAAGTCATTGAGTTTGCTGCATCGGTCCTAAGGTGCTGTGGACGGAAGGAATGCTATTACTTGATCTACAGAAAGTGAAAGGTCTTGCGATGAGGTAAATGGTCAATAGCTCAATGAACCAAATTATCAATCGTGTTTCTTAAATAAACAAAATAATAAATATTGAGTCCTTTCATTTCGCAAACTACAGATTTTCATTTCATAAACTACAGTTTTTTATTTCGCAAACTACAGATTTTCATTTCGTTTCATTTCGCAAACTGCAGTAAGCCGAATGCATGCAGACCCTGTAGACGGCACTAGAGCAGTGAGGGAAAAGAGGCTGGATCTGTTGAAAGAGAGCCAAATCAGGAGCTGGTTGAGCAGTTACCAACGAAAGCGGAAGACAGAAAATGAAAGACTGGCAGCAGATCTTTGACAGCTACAGGGACAGTTGACCTTCTCTTCATGGGCATCCACTGCAGCATCTGTCAAAGGAAATAACCTGCCCACTACTGATCCAGCTACCACCATTACACCTTGCACCTCAGCCACCACTCAAAATGGAAACATTTTGTCTTCCATCAAGACAGATGCTATTTTCAATTCATCCTATCCATCTATCACCTCAGCTGCAGTCACCCTAATTCCAACCCAGCGACCTTTTACCTCAGTTACCACTCTGGATTCCACCGAACCTTCTGTTACCTCAGCTGCCACCCTGGATTCAACCCAGCCTTCTGTTACCTCAGCTGCCACTGTAAATGCCAGTTGACCGACCACAGCACTGCAAGTTGACTTATTGGGTGCTAATGTGGGAAATGGAGTGGTATTTCTCCTGGAGCATGTCACAGTCAACCATTAACAACCGAAACAGAAGTAATGTGTGTTTTTAGTGCTTTTAACCATGGTTTACTTTATCAACAGTTAAGTCTGGACAACACCCTGGTAGGTCAAAATCTTAACACTCACAGGCAGACTGCTCTTGAACGTGCCGTAAGAGCTGGAGTTGACATTCGTGATCAGTTGTTTGACTAAGAAGAAGTGAACTCGTTTTTTGAAGAGGGAATTGAGCTAGCTGAAGAAGTGTGTCAAGTTGGACAAGAGCTCAATGAATACAATATGTTTAGAGCCAACCCCTTGGACCAGTTGGAGACTGTTATTAAAACATTGTCACAGCAATGCTAATCTTTTCATGTTTCAATTGCCTCTGAAATGGCAATGCTAAGAATGCTAACAGTTGTGGGGTTCTCTTTTTTATTGACTCCCATATTCATGGAACTAAAGGAGCAGTGAATGTATGTTTTCATCCTGACAGTCACCATCAGGTGCAGAATTTTGGGGTCTGGCTAGACCAAATGTTGACTGACACAAAAGGAGTAAGCCTGCCATTTTGTTTATCTCCTCAATTTGATATTCACGAAAGTGCTTCTGTGTCAAAAAACATTTTATTCATGGAGGTAATATTGCAAGATTACTTTGGCAAGTATGAAGGCCATAAACAATAAGTGAAAAGTGTTAGTTATTTTAACTTTGATTCAGTTTAACTGGGACAGTTATTGACTCACTTGTAAAGAGACCCTTTTTAATCCACAGATTTTACATTCAACACTGGGGACACATTCACTGAACTTTATCATGTAATTTACGATATATCTTTTCTCCCATGCTGCAAAATGAACATTTTTACCGGTTGTGAACCACAGCCCTTTTAATTCAAAGCATCTAGAAAAGGATGTGGTGATAATTTCAGTGTTGCGACTGAAGAATACTGAAGAATCTGTACACTAATCCAAAAATTGTACTGGTCTGTGTTAGCAAAAGGCTTGTTTCAGAGTGGCTTCCCTGCAATCCTAGAAGCTATTGAATATTTGAGCATTCAGGTAAGTTGCCACACAAGTACGAGGTAGTGATCCTGGAACCCAGTGTAAAATGATGCTACAGAAGTGGAAATTTGTTCGTAGATAAGTACAGGAGGTCTCCTTACAATCTAGTTGTGAAGCACGTAGACAGGAGACTTACAGGAAAAATGACATTACTGGGCAGTTAATCTTCAGCAGGAATTTCTCAAACACATATTATCACTCGGCAAAAAGCCACATCCAACGCAAAAATCCCACATTCTCAGGAATTGGTTACGTTTTTGTGGACCTATACCTTTCAGGTCTGGGTGAGGAACAACGTGCCTTGCTACAATCTTGTGACTTACAGCTTCTGGTTCAGTAGAAGTGACGACAGTTTGAGTTGAGAATAATTGAAGATACCCCCTCCTTACTCTTCTTTGTTTAAGTTAACGTATATACGTTTGATAGCGTTTCAGTTCGAGGTAAGATGCCTTTGATTCAAGTGTTTTTTGTTCATTACTCTCATACAGGTAGATAATGACAAATGAAACACAATACTGATCTGTTCCTTTATGTCAAACAGGAAAAAAACAAAGTATCTTCGGCTTAAAACTGCTATAATT